ATATGGTGGAGAAATTCTTAGGAAGTTTTCATGGATGATTTTTCGGTGTTTGGATCATCTTTTAAGGAATGCCTTAGGAACTTGACTAGAGTGTTGGAACGATGCACTGAGGCAAACCTAATTTTGAGTTGGGAAAAGAGCCATTTTATGTTCGTGAGGGTATAGTGTTAGGACACATTGTGTCCCCTCGAGGTATAGAGGTAGACAAGGCTAAGGTTGACCTCATTGCAGGCCTTCCTCCACCCAATTCCGTGCGTCAAATTAAGTCTTTCTTAGGGCATACAGGTTTTTACCGTAGGTTCATCAAAGACTTTAGTAAGATATCACGTCCTTTGTGTAGTTTACTGGTTAAGGACGTGCTTTTTATCTTTGATGAGGCATGCTTAAAGGCATTTGAAACACTGAGAATGGCCCTGACCACCGCCCCAATCATGAAATCATCAGATTGGTCACTTCCCTTTGAAATCATGTGTGATGCCTCCGATTATGCTGCCGGGGGCTGTGTTGGGCCAAAGGGTCAATAAGGCACCATTTGCTATATACTATGCTAGTTGCACTCTCTCGGATGCACAATTGAACTATACTACCACCGAGAAAGAGTTGCTAGCTGTGGTCTTTGCCTTAGATAAATTTCGGTTCTATCTCATAGGTTCCAAGGCCATAGTCTTCACTGATCATGCCGCTTTGCAGTATTTACTATCAAAGAAAGAGACCAAACCTAGGTTAATTAGATGGATTTTGTTGCTTCAGGAATTTGACCTAGAGATCCGAGATAAGAAAGGGTCTGAGAATGTGGTGACGGATCACCTCTCCCGAATCCTCGTTGAGTATACTAGTGACCCTCTTATTTTGCATGATTCGTTTCCAGACGAACAACTCTTTGAGCTGTCACAAGCGAGCCTCCCGTGGTTTGCACATATTGTAAATTACTTGGCCAATGGGCAAATTCCGCAGAATTGGTCTAAGCAAGACAAAGACCAATTCTTTTCGCAGGTCAAGTATTACTTTTGGGAGGATCCGGAGTTGTTTAAATATTGCTCCGGCCAAGTGATCCGACGGTGTGCCAGAGAGTGAGGTGCATAGCATTCTTACATGTTGTCATTCTTTTGCATGTGGCGGTCATTTTAGTGGGCATAAAACAGCCGCCAAGATTTTACAGAGCGGGTTTCATTGGCCCACAATTTTTAAAGATGCCCATCAATTTTATAGAACTTGTTTGCGCTGTCAGCAAATGGGTTTGATATCTCAGCATGACATGATGCCAATATCCCCTATTCTTGTGGTAGAGATATTTGATGTTTGGGGGATTGATTTTATGGGACCTTTCCCGTCGTCATTCGGGTTTGAGTATATTCTCTTGGCAGTCGATTATGTGTCTAAGTGGGTGGAGGCGATAGCTACCCGAACAAACGATCATAGAGTTGTAATCAAATTCTTGCATGAAAACATCTTTAGTCGTTTTGGGTTTCCTAGAGCCATAATAAGTGATTAGGGTACGCATTTTTTGTAACCGGTTCCTTGAGTCGGTAGTCAAGAAATACTCCATCACTCATAAAGTTGGCACTCCTTACCATCCTCAAATTAGTGGCCAAGTAGAAGTCTCAAATAGGGAGATAAAAACACATAATAGAAAAAACGGTGAGGCCAGATAGGAAAGATTGGTCACAACGGTTGATTGATGCATTATGGGCCTACCGCACTGCTTGTAAGACACCCATTGGGATGTCACCATATAGGGCGGTGTTTGGCAAAGCTTGCCATCTCCCGGTTGAACTTGAGCATCGAGCATTGTGGGCCATAAAGAAGTTTAACTTCGATATGGCCGCGGCTAGGCTCAACCGGAAATTGCAACTCAATGAGTTGGAGGAAATTCGGAATGATGCTTATGAGAGAGTTCGAGAGTTTTCTAAAGCTCGGACTAAAGAATTCCATGACAAGCACATTAATAGAAAATCCTTTGAACCCGGCCAAAAAGTGTAGCTTTTTAATTCAAAATTGAGACTCTTTCCGGGTAAGCTAAGATCAAGATGGGATGGCCCCTTTGTGGTTGTTGAGGCATTTATTCATGGCGCCGTTGAGGTGCAAGATCCAAAGACTGGCCACACTTTTAAAGTGAATGGCCAAAGATTGAAGCCATATATAGAGGGGATTGGGAATGGGGAAATGATTGAGTCCATTGCTTTGATGGACCCGTTTTACTATGATTGATAGATTAATTTCTTGTTTTTTTTTCTTTCCCTCTTATTTTATTCTGTTTTTCTTTGTTCTTGATGTGCTTCATTTGCGTTTAGGAGACTTTAAATCCTCTAAAGGTGTAATTCCTTTGGTGTTAGTCGTGCCCGAACGGCATCTGACGGTCTGGTATAGCCACCTAACCGTGTTTGTAGTGAGTTCCTAGGAGACCAACTGAGACGGTAGAAACTAGAGTTCGAATGGCAAAGCTTAGAACACAAAGGTTTGGAATTTCCGAGATTAGAGTATGGTTTTAATATCCAGGGGTGTGGAGATTACTTCAAAACTACCCCGGCTTGAACTCTGTATGGCAGCCCCAGAGGTTGAGGTAGCTTTATGCGCCTCGATTCTGGATACCGAATCAACCTACTTTGTCACCCTGTTGGAGAATAGGGAAAGTTACAAACACAGTTAGGGAGAAAAGTAGTCCCCATAGTTTTCGTGTGAAGATTATACCTCTAGTGGGTATTCCGTTATTTTCTTATTTATTTATTTATTCCGGATGTCAAATGAAGGTAGAAATAGTTTAGCATGCTTTGGGTGGTACTCGATTTTTAATTTCTTATCTTTAATCTTTTAAAAATATACATATACATATACACAGAGTTCTTTTATTAAAAAAAAAATAAAATTCCGCACGTGCGGCTCAATTCCAAATCCAACAATTGCACACTGCTTTAAAAGCAGGTGCGAAGAGGCGTGCGTAAACCAAGCCGCACATGCAGTTTGAAAAGAAAAGGAACTTGAAGCTTCAAGCATGTTTCCCATGATGGCTTCTTCTCCATCTACCTCTTTCCACTCCTCCATGAGTGGCTAGCCTCTTTTTTTATGGTTTTGATGAAACCCTAGCCATGTAATAGGTTTTTCTTTTTGATTTTCAATTATGTAAAGGTTTGAACACTTTTATAGTGTTTTAGAAGTTTCATATATATATTTTCCATTATTTCTTCAAATATTCGGCTTTCTGTGATTGTTGAATGTTTTTCGTACAAGAGTTTTCTATTCTTTCACATTCAAGGTATGAGACGAATCATATTACGAGAGACGAGTCGTATCACTACCTTAGTTTAGAGTGAACGATTCATACTACTTGAGATGGTTCGTGCTCGTACATTGAACGTGATAATTTTCTTATTAAATGCTTTGAACTTGTAGTTACGAAGCATTATTCCGTTCGTTCGAACCATAACATAATTGTTTTCAATTTGAAAACCCTATTTACGTGATTAGTGGTGGACTCTTCGCCCTAGGTTTTTCCCCAATTCAGTAAATCCATTTTCAGTTATAATTGATAATTTAATTATTTTATTTAATTTATTTGTTATTAAATTAGGTTATGATCAATCATTTTCATCAAAATTAATTTAGGAATTTATGAATTAAATTAGTTTAATTTCACAATTGTCCCTGTGGATCGATACCTGGACTTGCCATTATTCTAAAAGAATTTGGTATAGTTTAGTGTTTAAATTTGGTGTGTTCAATGACCTATCAAATTTTGGCGTCGTTGCCGGGGATTTCTGGCGAAATTAGTTAAATCACTCCAGACTTTGTCCCCCTCTCATTTTTTTTCTCCCTCTCATTATTTATCTCCCTCTCTCAACCCCACAACCCACCATCACCATCTTCTTCCTTTTTCTTTCTTCTTCTTCTTCCTTCTCAACCCTCCTTCCTACCATCTCACCGCCGGCATCACTATTTTCTCTTCGTCCGACGAATCTTCGGCGACCACCATTTTTTTCCGCGAATCTCCATTCTTTTTCTCTTTTTCTCTCATTTTTCAAGGTAAAATTTACTTGTTCTTTAGATTTGTGGACATAGGAGGAGAGAAGTAAAGTTTTGATTTTATTTTTATATTATATTATTTTATTTTATTTTGTTTTTGTTTTTATTTCTGTTTTTATTTTTTATTTTTTGTTCAAATCTTGATCTTTGTTTCATACCAAAAATAAATAAATAAATAAATAAGGGATTTTCTTTTATACTGCTTAGCCATGTTTGTTGTTAGTTGTTTATTCTTTCTATTATTTTATTTTATTTATTTAGCCATGTTTATTTAGCCATGTAGTATACTAACTTAGCCATGTTTATTTAGTTTGTTCATCTTACAAAAAAAAAAAAAAAATCTGCGTAGGAAGAAGATGAGAGCCGCACGTGCGGCCCTCTCCGGCAAAAAAAAAAAAAACCTCAGAAATAAAGGTACTAATAATAATAATAATTTAGTTTTTTTTTTATTTACTATATTTGTTTAGTTTAAATAGTTTAGTAGTGATTCTCATTAGTTTCATTAGTTAGTGGATTGTTTTTATTTTTATTTTACTTGTTTAGTTAGTGATTTTATTTTTACTTTTATTTTTTTATTATTATGATGTAATTGTTCATTTAATTGTTAAGTAGTTTAGTTTTTATTTTTATTTTATTTTATTTTCTAAATTTTTATTTTATTTTATTTTATTTTATTCTATTTTCTTCTCTTCTACTAACTTAAAAAAAAATAAAAAAAAGTTTAGTTTATTTTATTTTATTTTATTCTATACTTTAGTTTATTTTGTACTATAGTTTACTTCTTTTATAGCTTAGTTTAGTTTATTTAATGTCATATTTAATGTCATTTTTATTCATTTATTTAATTCTTTTTGTTTTTATATAAAAAAAAAAAAAATTGGTGCGAGTTGCATGTGATACATCAGTGGGCAGACTTGTGTTTTAATATTTTATTTGATTCTCATGCTGGTTTCACGGGTATATGTGTTTGTTGGTGTGTGCAGGATATGAGTCGACGTGTGTCTGCTCGGGCCTCCAAAAAGGGCAGAGGTTCCACCTCTTCGGCGCCACCACCGCCACCGTCACCACCATCCTCGCCACCACCACCGAGTGACTTGCCACGGCCGGAGTGGGCTTCACGCCCTCTTCACAAGCTCACGCAGTTCAACATTCCATATTTTCAGCGTGACATGGACACCACTTGGGCTGTTGAGCAGCTCCAACTCCGGCACCAGTTGGGCGTTTGCACTGTGGCAGCGCCCACTTATCCTCGTCTGGTACGACTTTTCTACCAGAACCTGTATGAGTCACTCACTGAGGATGGACTGCTATCTACCATTGATGGTCATATTGTCCGCATCACCTCATCCATGATTGCCATCGCGTTAGGGTTTTTCGCCAAGCCAGAATATCAGCCCTTCCCGGAAGTTGAGGATCGACAACCCATACATAGCCTTATCCAGCAATACTTCCCGGGGGCCACGGTGACAACAGTTTCACATGCTTGCGGCGGAGCAAGCTGCCTAGCCACTTGCTATTCATTGATTTCGTGGTCCATAAGAATGTCCTTTCACTTGGGCATAGAGCTAAGCACCGTTTGGAGTTTGTTCGGGTTTTACACCGTTATCAGCATGGCTATCAGGTCTCGCTTGAGCATATCATCTGGATGCATTTGCGAAAATTTCTACGAGAGGCAGTTCGGCCTGAACCTATGCAGAACTTGACTTGGCCACTGCTATTTGCCAATTTGTTGACACTTGTGTTTGAGCTGAACGGCCTCCCCATTGCTGAGAATGAGGAGATTTATAGAGCGTATCCAACTTTCGGTCAGCGGGAATGGCAACATAGCATATCTCGCATCCCGCAGCAGGTTGGTGCCCCAGTTGATGAGGCCCAGGACCCCGTACATGACCACCCACCTCATCTTGTTCCCCCCTCACCTCTCCAAGGGGACCCACTCTACATGACTCGCGAGGAGTACTTACAGCTTCAGCACTCTGTGGATTAGGTCCACAATACTCTTCGTGATCACCACTAGAGTCTCATGGAGTTGTGCACGGATTTTCAGGCGCATCGAGACTATTCTCAGGCGACCTTCGACCAGCTACACACTCGCCAGCTCGACATCCAGCAACGGGTTCAGGATTAAGCCTTTGAGACGCGATCTTTGATGCAAGCCTTCTTTGCCCAGCATTTCCCGCCACCACCGCCACTGGCTTCTCCGTAGCACCCACTGTATATTGCTTTATCTCTTTTATTTTTATTTCTTTTCAGTTATTTCCTCTTCTCAAGAAAAAAACAAAAAAAAAAGTTGAGTGTGTGTTATTATATGCCTATCTGGATGTGCACTTACAATCTCTGGTAATCTTCTCTCATTTCTCTTTACTTTTCCATTGCGGACAATGTCATATTCAAGTTGGCGGATGAGGATTGTATTTTCTTTTGTGCATTCCTATTTGGCTTAATCATTCATGCTTATACCTGTTTCACTTGATTGCATTGCTTCACTTGATGTGACTTGTTACTAGTAGGGTGATGATATTTTTATATGTTAATTGGGGAGCATAGTAGACTTGTATGAAAAGGATTTATTGGGTAGATACTTGCATGTGATGTTTGCATTAGGGGAGTCATTTGTGCTTGTGGTATTAGTACATTTGTCATAAGTATGTCTTAATTCACATGAATACACTCTCATAGCGGTGACCTCTTTATTATAATCCCTGGTGTATATCATTAATAATAGCTAGGTTGCAGAAAAGAATAAATGAGGAGCCAAGATTCTCTACACTTGTTTGGATTCATAGCCTTTTTAACTCAGGTTATTAAGCCCGTAGGGGTGTCTTTACACCTAGTGCCCTAAAATCGTCTGGTTTGGGAGTCATTGGCCCAATACTTGCTACATGGGTTAATTAGAAAGCAGAAGGAACTTAGACATTGCACAGTTAAGGGAAAAAAAAAAAAAGGAGAATAACTTGTTCGGATTCATAGCCTTTTCAACTCGAGTTATTAAGCCCGTAGGGGTGTCTCTACACCTAGTGCCCTAAAACTGTCTGGTTTGGGAGTCATTGGCCCAATACTTGCTACATGGGTTGATTACAAAACTTAATGGATCAAAACATTGCACCATCATTTAAAAAAAAAAAAACACTTGAGAATCTTGGCTGCAACAGGTTAGTTTTTCTGTATATGTTGAGTGTTATCATGAGTTACACTGGGCTATTATAGTGGACAGTTAACTAATATGGAGATTGCACTTTACACCGAGGGTACTGATGATTTGTCTACTAGCATGCACAAGGACAGGGGACTTTACTTTTGTATTAACTGAATTGTGGTTTTGACTCAATAGGTTCCTTTGTCCATTGTGCCTTTAATGACTCATTATGTTTTAATATCACGCTGTAGTGGCACATAAGTTGATTGCTAGGTGGAGTAATTTGGTTAATTGTTGGGCGTATATGAATATGAAAATGTTTGTGGGTATCATTTCTGGAAACCCTCACGAGACTTTACTCGTCCACTTGGGATAACTTTGTGGTTTAAAGGCTTGTTGCATATGCTAAATGCAACCGTTTTCTCACGAAAGAGGAAATAGCTAGATTTTGTTTAATTTTATCTCTTTTTTATCACTTGCTTGAGGACTAGCAAGTTGTAAGTTAGGGGATGTGATTAAGGCCGAATTGTACGTCATTGAGGCCGTTAATTAGGATCTCTTAATTTCACTTGTTTGTCAAAATGTATACTTTGTTTGTTGAATGTCAATCAGATTGTACATAGTCGGAGCATAAAATGGGCAAAAAGACAGAATTTGGAGAGAGTTGACTTTGTCCGCACGTGCGTTGACTTTCCAGCTCGTGTGTTGACTTTTTCTGAGAAAACGTGCCAGATGTTTTAAACCTGTTTGGAAAGACACCGGAAGTATAAATAGGCAAGAAAAAGGCTAGATTAGGGTTCTGCAGTTGTTTTGTCAAGAAAGGGAGGCTAGGGTTTGAAAAGAAGAGGAACTTGAAGCTTCAAGCATGTCTCCCATGGTGGCTTCTTCTCCATCTACCTCCTTCCACTCCTCCATGAGTGGTTAGTCTCATTTTCTAGGGTTTTGATGAAACCCTAGCCATGTAATAGGTTTTTTTTTTTTTATTTTCAATTATGTAAAGGTTTCAACACTTGTATGGTGTTTTAGAAGTTTCATATATATATTTTCCATTATTTCTTCAAATATTCGGCTTTCTGTAACTGTTGAATGTTTTCCATACAAGAGTTTTCTATTCTTTCACATTCAAGGTATGAGACGAATCATGCTACGAGAAACGAGTCGTATCACTACCTTAGTTTAGGTAAACGATTTATACTACTTGAGATGGTTCGTGCTCGTACATTGAACGTGATAGTATTCTTGTTAATTGCTTTGAACTTGTAGTTACGAAGCATTATTCCGTTCGAACTATAACATAATTGTTTTCAATTTGAAAACCCTATTTACGTGGCTAGTGGTGGACTTTTCGCCCTAGGTTTTTCCCCAATTTAGTAAATCCATTTTCAGTTATAATTGATAATTTAATTATTTAGTTTAATTTATTCGTTATTAAATTGGGTTATGATCAATCATTTTTTTCATAAAAATTAATTTAGGAATTTATGAATTAAATTAGTTTAATTTCATAATTATCCCTATGGATCGATACTTGGACTTGCCATTATTCTAAAAGAATTTGGTGTAGTTTAGTGTTTAATTTTGGTGTGTTCAACGACCCATCAATATATATATGAACGTAGAGAGTGAATTAAAATGGGCATCAACCCCAATTATCATTAATATTAGTTCTTTTCTCTCACAGGGCATAGAACCAAACGACACTGAGGATAAATTTCAAACCTTTTGAGATATACATATGCTATATCTAAAACTCAGAATGTGTTCTTGCGATTTTGGGTTAAACTAACTGTAATAGAAAAGAAAAATGAAAATGAAAATGAAAAAACTGAGAAGCAGTGAAACATCTTCATGATCTCTTCAAACAAAGACCCTACTTTTCCTACACACACACACTCTTTCACAAGAAGTGACTGAAAAACTACTTCTTCACAAGGAATGGTAAGACCCATGTCGTGATCAAACCCGAACTCTTCTTCGACACGTTGAAGAAGGTTCTAGAACTCAGGATGAGTCAAGAGAGAGATTGGATGTGTGATAAAGTCTTGATGTATGGCTTCTAAATTTCGATGTGTGTTCTTGGTAGTTATTTTGTCTTTTTATCGTTTTGTTGATGTAATGGGGAAAAGGATTAAGGAGATTGTTGTTCTGTATGTGTTATGTAATTAGCTGAGAGTTTAGTCCTTTTGTTTATATTGTTGTTCTTGTCATCATGCTGAGCTATATTGTAAACTTTTTCGCAATGTTGAACCTGTTAAATTGATGAACCTCGTCATTTGACATTTATGCTTAACATTGGTTTATGTACAACACTATTACTTGACAATCATTATCAATTATTTTCCTATTGTTGTCTTCTTGTAATTTTGTGAATACTTTAGCTTCTGTAAACAGTCCATATTGGTCATAATATCGATGATGCATGTGGTGTTTATATATCATGTTTGCAACTACTTTGCAGGTACCAGCATGGTTCCTGGGACGAAGACAGGGTGACGTAAGAAAACAACAACTGACCCATGGCATCACCCTCAGGAACATCTGCACATGTCATTGTCACACCACAGACTTTATCCGATGAGACACAACCGCCGGATGACACAAACATTTGTGGAAGAGACACAGGCGCACGGCGTACGTAAGATCATTATACGTTTTTGTTGCATCTTCAGGGTTGACTGACTGTGGACTACAATGTTTATTCTTGTTTTTGGTAGTTTTGTAGGTGTGTTTCGGCCCCTAAAGATAACTTTATTTGACTTAACCAAATGATTTTTCTTCATCTAGAAAGACAATTTGCTTGGATGATTGTTAAATTTAATATTAATTATTGTCGATTATATGTTTGGGGCACTAATTGCATGTGAAGGCCTTACACTTGTTGCCCCTTCTTGACCAGGGAAAAGTACGTCAACTCGTGTACGTGGTCCTACAGTCGGAAAAGGAGTGCAAAAAAGGATTGTGAGAAAAAAAAGGGGAGAAACTACATGTATATGTCAATCACATGCTGAATGCCCTCACTAGAGGGAATGCCACGCCTGCAACGAATGAGTTGGGCTTGTTGATAAGGCGGGTTGTGCCCTCTGAAGGGAGTGAAGTCATGGAAGAAAATTGATCAGAGTATCAAAGATGCTGTAGTACAAGCTGTGTTAGTAATTTCTGACCTTAAACTAAATGTCTTCATTATGTAAAGTTGCAATTGCTGCATTCAATTTCTGTAATACGTCACACACTTATGCTTGCAGGACACGTTTGAAATTGGTGAGGATTTTCATACTGATCAGCAAGCTCAAGAGATCGTTGATACGAAGGCGTATCTCTTGTACAAGGATTAGTGGTACACCCTGAAGCAACACTTCGAAAAACTTGTCAAAGAGGGTGTTGATGACCCATATAGTCATCCGCCTACAGGAGTATGCTTGGATGATTGGAAACACATGATTGATGTGGCTTAGAAGGATGATTCTCATTTGGTAACAAACAAATATAAACGACTCTATTGCTTTATTTGCGTATTATGCATTGATATGTACTAATTCTTGAATAATTCTTTTTTTTTTAGAAACGCTCTAAAGCTGGCAAACCGAAGTTTGCTACCGTACAATCACACTAGTGGATCTCGCTCCTTTCCAATAGCAATGTCGCTCATGGTGAGTTAGATACATTTGGAACAGATTTCTCATCACTTATGTATGTAAGACGAAAGTCATGGTTACTATTGTGACAAATTAATTTTGTTATTTGAAACTAACAGGTAGATGAAAATGGGGAGTTGGATTTTTCGGAATTTTATTTCAAATCACACAAATCGAAGAAAACAAACGAATGGATTGATCCCAAATGTGGTGAGCTACATGTAAGGAGTAAACTCTTTTTACCAATTGTATTTAATATTAATGCCTATCTTAGCACAAAATTTCATGTGATTCTTTGTGCCTTTGTTGAATAGTCTACTTTTTTTGGTAATGATAGGATGCAATGGTGAATCTACAAGCGACAGCCACGGATGCGGGGATCCCATTGACATAGGAGGAACTCTCACGGCAAGTGCTTGGACAGAGAAAGAATTACTTGCGTGGATTTGGGATAGGCCCACAACCCTATTCGCCATTTGATAGTGCGGCACGATCTCGTGACAAACAAATGGAGGCAATGCGATCTGAGATGGAGGTTCTTCACGAAAATTTGATGAAGGAGAAAGAAGAGCGCCAGAGAGATCGTGAAGAGATGATGAGGGAGAGAGAGGAGTTGATGAAAGAAGTAGAAGAAGGAAAAAAAGCAAGGGAGGCGCAACAACAACAACTGAATCATTTGAACTCTGTGGTTTTACGACTCTCAACACTGTTGGAGGGTTCAGACGGTCATCGTCGTATTTGGTAAGAAGAATTTCATTCATATCATACTAAAACTTATACAAACTTAGATTTACATACTCACTAAATAATACTCTCTCTTTGTTGTGAAGCATGAGGGCAAGAAAAAATCATGCAATTGAAGAATTAAAATTTGTGTAGGTAGAGAGGGCCTATCATAGTGCCCGTTATGCAATTTTGACCTTGAATGCTTCTATCACTGATCTTTTAGAGCTAGACTAATCTCATTGGAGTTGTTATTTGTATTTTTTTTATTTTTTTTTCATTTTGTCAATAGGTTGAAATTTTGATCTTTTAGATGAGGCTTATTGTCCAAGAATTGTTGGATGTTAATTTCGGTTTTTGAGTCCTATAATTTGTTACACAAAAAAGAAGAAATGAAAAATCTTAGTGAAGACTCAGGTAATGTTGTTGGACACAAGTAACAGTTTTTAGTCTCTTTTAAATGAGAAATTATATTATCAAAGATTAAGCATAATTACTCAATATGATTAAGAAATGTTGAAAGAATAAGGAAGTTCTCAGTGCTATCCTAGGGAAAGTAGTGGTATGGTCATGGCAATTGTGTTTCTAGCATTGAGCCATTGCATCTGTATTGTAATGAACTTATAGAAAGTTGCAAACAATCTAGTCAACTGTGCAATGTCTACTCTCATCATTCCTCGTCAACAGTTAATCTCATTGTACCTAAATTTTCTATACAGTTAGAGAAGTTTGTAAACAGTTAATACAATTCAATGTTTAGGGACTACAGATGGTATTCCGCCAAACAGTTAATACAATTCAATGTTTAGGGAGTACAGTTAGAAAAGTTGCAAAACTCAAAAAAGACATTCAGAAATTGAATCTCGATAAACCAATTAAAAACAAGGGCTCAAAAACCAAAATTAAAATTAATATTATAGCAACATAAACTACATATTGTGCCTCCACATAGTTATGATCTTAGGTTACAATAGAAATGTACTCAATGGTATAAAAAATTGCGTCACTTGCTCGGCAGGTAAGTTCCATAAACAAGACTGCATCTGATTTGCCATGTCTGCTGCTTGATGTTGTCTTTTGTTTAATGGGCTTCAAAAATATTTATTAATGCCGATTTGGTGTAGTGTATTTTTAATGGAGTTGCTCTCTGTGACAATACAAATTTAATGTGCCAAATATTATTATGGCTACTTTCTAGCTGGAACAATAGACACATGGAGATTCTTTTGTTTGGCACCAATAATACCAATGATGTGCTGTTATATTGTTGTAATACTATCTGTTATCTGCATATCCATTGAGCTCACTGTCAGGATAAGTCATAGAAAATTCCCTTAAAAAGACTGTTTCGGGGGTGAAAATTGAAAACAGCCCTCGAACGACCATGTGCCTGACACGGACAGCTTCCCCATGACAAATAGAACTTGTGACAACTGACGGAATGTAATTTGGACCCGTAGGTGGAGAGTTAGAGCCGAATACGCCCAAAACTTAGTTGGAAAAGGGCATTTCGGAGGTGAAAATTCAAAACAAGCCCCGAACGACCGTGTGGCTCACGCGGATAGTTTTCCTATGACAAATAGGACTTGTGACAACTGACAGAACGTCATTCGGACCCGTAGGTAGAGAGTTAGAGCCGGATACGCCTTAAACTTACTAGAAAAAGAGCTTTCCGGGGGCGAAAATTCATAATAGCCCCCGAAGTTATGAATTGTGTGTTTAAGATTTGTGCGTTTATTGTCCAAAAGTTATGCCTACCTCTACAAACTGATAGAAATTTGAAATTTACTTTAGTTGTTTGGAAGTCCTGTGAATTTCAAATTGTTTCCTAGTATTTGATATTCTTTCATGTAGAATGATTCTCTTTCTCTCTCAGTCTCCCCCAAATTCTCCCTCAGTGAGCACTGAGACATTCATGAGTGGATAATTTTAAATTGACTGAAAAGGGTCATCCAAGTCACCCTTATATAGATCTCTTGATGTCTCTATATAATAGGTCACAACTCTTCCAAAGTTTAGAACTTTTTGCAGAGTGATAAGGTACAAGGGGTTCCAACAATATTGTGGTGTGGTGTGATCATCCCATTGGCCATCATATTGTTGTATGCCTCAGGGGTAGAGCCAGGGGGGACCAGCAGGGGCCCTAAGAAGTTTCTGTTACATATAGCTGTTTACCAAAAAAACTTGGAAATACCAAGCAGATTCCTCATAACCACTCTTAAAATTTTGAATCTTTTTATTGAATAGCTTCTTTTTGGAATTCACAAATTTAACCCCTTTTGACAACTGTAAGGTCACCACCATCTTATTATTACATGACACCATTTGTAAATTTCCAATCATTTTGATAAAATAAGAGGACCATTTTGTACAACAAATGTCAGTGATACAATATGTATCTACTTTATGTACTCAACAGATTCACTTCTCCATACCCTCTCAATAGTGCAACTCAAAGAAACCAACTTAACAAGGAAAGAGCAACATAGAAAACAAAAAACGAAAAACCAATGCAGCAGCCCCAACAACTCAAAGATAGCAGCCATTTAACCCCAACATTAGTGCAAAACAGATCAGCTAATTCAATCCCAGCAACAATGCAAAACAGAGCAGCCACCCATAAACTCCCACCCAGAACCATCCGCGATGCTGACTCTGCATGGATTCTACACAAGGAGTACACATAATAAAAGCACTAAACACCCAATCAACTGTGTAACAGTCCCAAAAACAATGCATTTCAGAGCTGCTTTGATACTCACATTGCAGGAAATATAATCTGATGGACAGCAGTAAAGCCATTGGCATAGTTTTCCATATCAGCCATTTGAACTTCTTAAACTTAAACCCAGCCCACAAATTAAGAAGCCACTCAATTGACCCAAGCACAACCCCACTGAATACCCCACCAATCCACTGAACTAGACCACATTGTGTCCGGATTGATGGACACAACAAAAGCACATGATTAACAGATCAATATCGTAATTTCAAAAAATACAAGTGTTACAAACACTCCCACTAAGTACACCAAAACTTAGTCGAAAAAGGACGTTTCGGGGGCGAAAATTCAAAACAGCCCTCGAACCATCGTGTGACTCTCACGGGCAACTTTCCCATGACAAATACGACTTGTGACAACCGACGGAATGTAATTCGGACCCGTAGGTTGGGAGTTAGAGCTGAATACGCCCAAAACTTAGTCGAAAAAGGGCGTTTCAGGGGCAAAAATTCAAAACAGCCCCTGAACCACCGTGTGACTCTCACGGGCAGCTTTCCCATGACAAATAGAGCTTGTGACAACTGACGGAATGTAATTCGGACCCGTTGGTTGGGAGTTAGAGCCGAATATGCCCAAAACTTACTCGGAAAAGGGCGTTTTGGGGGCGAAAACACAAAACAGCCCCCGAACCACCATGTGGCTCTCACGGACAGTTTCCGCATGACAAATATGACTTGTGACAACTGACGGAATGTAATTCAGACTCGTAGGTTGGGAGTTTGAGCCGAATACGCTCAAAACTTACTCCAAAAAGGGCGTTTCAGGGGCAAAAATTTAAAATAGCTCCCGAACCACCGTGTGGCTCTCACGAACAGTTTCCCCATGACAAATACAACTTGTGACAACTGACGGAATATAATTCGGACCCATTGGTTGGTAGTTAGAGCCGAATACGCCCAAAACTTAGTCGAAAAAGGGCGTTTCGGGGGCGAAAATTCAAAACAACCCTCGAACCACCGTGCGACTCTCACGGGCAGCTTTCCCATGACAAATACGACTTGTGACAATTGACGGAATGTAATTCGGACCCGTAGGTTGGGAGTTAGAGCTGAATATGTACAAAACTTAGTTGAAAAAGGGCGTTTCGGGGGCGAAAATTCAAAATAGCCCCCGAACCACCGTGTGGCTCTTACAGACAGTTTCCCCATGACAAATAGGACTTGCGACAACTGACGGAATGTAATTCGGACCCATAGGTTGGAGTTAGAGCTGAATACGCCTTAAACTTACTCAAAAAGGGGCGTTTCAGGGGCGAAAATTCAAAACAACCACCGAACCACCGCACGGCTCCAATAGACAGTTTTCCCATGACAAATAGGACTTGTGACAACTGACGGAATGTAATTCGGACCCGTAGGTTGGGAGTTAGAGCCGAATACGCTTTAAACTTACTTGAAAAAAGGGCGTTTCGGGGGCAAAAATTCAAAACAGTCCCCGAACCGCCGTGTGACTCTCACGGGCAGCTTCCCTATGGCAAATAGAACTTGTGACAACTGACGGAATGTAATTCGGACCTATAGGCTGGGAGTTAGAGCCGAATACGCCTCAAACTTACTCGAAAAATAGGCGTTTTGGCGGTGAAAATTCAAAACAGCCCCTGAACCATCGTGTGACTCTCATGGGCAGTTTACCCATGACAAATAGGACTTGTGACAGCTGACGGAATGCAATTTGGACCTACAACTGACGGAATGTAATTCGGACCCATAGGTTGGGAGTTAGAGCCGAATACACCTTAAACTTACTTGAAAAATGGGCGTTTCGGAGGCGAAAATTCAAAATAGACCCCGAACCACCATGTGACTCTCACGGGCAACTTCCCCATGACAAATAGGACTTGTGACAACTGACGGAATGTAATTCGGACCCGTAAATTAGGAGTTAGAGCCGAATATGCCTTAAATTTACTCAAAAAAGGGCGTTTTGGGGGCTAAAATTCAAAACAGCCCCCGAACGACCGTGTGACTTTCACGGACAGTTTTCATATGACAAATAGGACTTGTGAAAACTGACGGAATGTAATCCGGATCCGTAGGTTGGGAGTTAGAGCCGAATACACCTTAAACTTACTCAAAAAAGGGCGTTTTGTTGAAGTGTCCATTGTTCTTCAGATTCGTACAAATAAGATGAAAGAAAATTTTTTTCTTGCTCCGGATGTGAACTTGCAGGAGCTTGGTATGTGAGTTCTGCATTTTGTTAGTATTTGTTATTGCCATGATAGATCAACACATGATTGGTTCTGCATTTTGTTAGTTATTGTTGTTGCCATGATAGATCATCCAACGATTGTTATTCTTTTCCACTTTAATTGTCTTTTCTCAAACTGAAATGACACTATATTCAAGTATTGTTAGTTAAGATTTTCTGAGCATCTGTTCTGAGATTTTTTGTGGTTGGAAGTGTATAGTGAATATAATTATTTATTGGAGATGTAGAGTAATGGAAAATTAAGGGAAAAATATTCAGAAATCAATATTAATTCATTTTATGCCTTGTTATATTATATTAATTTCTTGCATGTACACAAGTGTGTTATATTATGTTTAAGCTTTTATACAAGTATGAAACTCTGAATGTTGTTTGTGAGGCCATGTGCTTCATGAGATATCAAGTATTCTTTCTTTGATGAACCATTTATAGGTGTCTCAACATACATTTCTACATATTTCCTTTTGTGATTAAACTTTATTTTTGTTATTATTTTTCTCACATGTTCTAATATCCTGAATGAAATGGCACTGACAAACATTAATAAGTAGGGATAGTTTTATATCCAATCTAATGATTCAAGTGCCTTTTGCAAACAATTAATGAGGAAGTTGGTAAAAAGAATACTTTCTATTCACATTGGACTTTGATATTGGTTTAGCCACAGAATTTGGATAGATGTTGTATACAAATAGAAGATTGTTACATTAGCTTTATGACAATAATGACAGATTTAGTAATGATTGTTCTGCATTTAACAATGTTCCTTATAACAAAAGACTTTAGAAAGACTGATAATTGATTCATCATGGAAGGTTGCTTCTTTGATATGTTATTTGTCACTT